GAAGAAGTCGTCGCTAGTCTTCTTTTTTCCAGCTCAGCGGCAGAGATCGGCTTGTCACTCTGAATTCCTGCATGTAGAGTGCTGTCATCAGCGAAGCTGTGGATTGGGTTGATCGTGAAGGAAAGGAGGTCGTTGATATGTGAGAGAAACAGTGTTGGAGCCAAGACCGATCCCTGGGGAACACCCGCGTTGACGTTGTGGGATGAAGAGGAGAATCCGTCAATTACGACGGATATCTTGCGGCCAGAGATAAAGTCAGCCACCCATCTGCAAAGCATTTCTGGGAGGCCGTAGGATGGAAGTTTGCTTAAGAGGGCAGCGTGCCACAGCTGATCGAACGCTTTCGTGATGTCAAGAGCAACGACATGAGCCTCACCATGAGACTGGATGAGTTTACTCCACAGTTGCGTGACGTAAGCTAGGAGGTCCCCTGTGGATCGTTGGTGCCGGAAACCGTACTGCCTGTCGCTAATCAAGCTGTGACGTTCGAGGTAGTCCAGAAGCTCGCGATTTATGCACCTCTCCATCACTTTACTTATAACAGAAAGCAGAGCTATAGGCCTGTAGTTGTAAGGATCGGTTTTAGATCCTTTTTTTTGGGATGGGCTGTACATGAGCAAATTTCCAGTTTTCTGGGAAGGTGCCGGATTCATAAGATATCTGGAAGAGACGCGAAAGAACTGGAGCAAGCTCCGCTGCACGTCTCTTCAGTACAATGGCAGGAATCAAGTCCGGACCAGAAGCTTTGTTGATGTCGAGCGACAAGAGCACTCGTCTTACGGTCTTATGCCTGAATGTTACCTCCCGCATAGTGTGGGGAACCCTTTGAATTGACGGCACCTGGGCGTTGGTAGGGACGTCCATGGTGGAGTTGGCAGCAAAGATCTTGGCTAGCACTTCCGCCTTGGCCTTTGAGTCGAATACAATAGTTCCATCCTGACACGTAAGTGGTGGAAGGCTACTGTGTGAGAAGTTCTTTTCAATCTGCTTGGCCAGCGTCCAGAAAGACCGACTGCCATTGCGCTGCGACATTACCCTGTGCCTAACTTTTATATCATGCTGGCTTTTGGCATTGCGAACCGCTTCGTTATATTTGTTTCTGGACTCGACGTCGGCTTGTTTGTCCTCTACAGTGGGGTTTTGTAAGTAGGTTCTGTGGGCCTTGATCTTCTGCTGGCGAGCAGTGTTACACGATTTGTTGAACCAGCCGTTGGACCCTGATTTAGGAACTTTCACTGTGTGAGGGATGTATTCCTCCATTCCGACGTGGATAATTTCGGTTATTGAAGAACAGACAGTCGACGCATCCGCGTCAGTGAAACAGACATCTCTCCAAGGAAAGCTAGAGAAGAAGTCTCTGAGCCCCTCCCAGTCGGCATGTCCGTAATGCCAAGTTTTGCGGCCTGTGCGAGTTTCTGCTGCCACAGCGGCTTCTGACCGAAACCTAACCTCCACAACACCGTGATCTGAGTTACCCAGGGGGGACAGGACAGCAGTGCTGTAAGGGGCAGGATGCGTGGTCAGAAAGAGATCCAGCAGGCTACTGGCGTGTGACGAGACGCGGGGGAAAAAAGTAGGGCTCGTCACCAGCTGGGTCAGCCCTTGAGTAAGAGCGAACGCTTCGACTGCACGACCTGCTGCATCGGTCTTATTTGAGCCCAACCAAAGCTCATTATGGGCATTGAAATCACCGAGAAGAACTACCTCTGAAGCGGGGTGATTGATGTTCAGGAAGTCGATCTGGACGGCGAGGTATTCGAGTAGGTCATCCCAGTTATGGTTCGATGGAGAGCGATAAAGGCAGCAAATAAATTTGGGTGATGTTTTGGAGTTGAGGCGAAGCCACAGAATGTCCTTCCGGTCTGATTCCAAAGAAAGATCCCTGGAGCAGGAAAGACTGCTGCGGACAAAAGCCACAACTCCCCCGTTCTTTCTCAGATTGGAGTGCACCTCGTAGTTTGGGAAGTTGAGATGGTTAATCGGTGCAGCCTCTGAGATTTTTGTCTCCGCCAAGAAAAGCACGGCGGGACGATTGGATTGCAGGTAGTGATGAACAGCATCAATGTTGCTGTTGATCCCGCAGATGTTCGAAAAACAAATTTTATCTTCGATGTTGTTCCCTCGAGACCACCCTCCACCCGGACATTCCGAGAGTGGAGTGAGTTTACGTCCGGAGTTTTTAGTGCTCGAGGGATCCATCATCATTAATTTCTTTGTTTTGGTAGATAATACGTATCAAAACAATTTCAAATATCCTCGCACAGCTGTAATGTAGATAACAGCTCTCTTGATGCGTAATTTGGATCCGTAGATTGAGAAGCCGATTTAAATTCACTGGTAGAATTAACGTTTAGCTCCAGACGGCTTATTTTTTCATATCATATTAGAAATCAACGTAAATTACCCACTTGAACCAAGCCTCGTTAATAAATGCTTCTATACACTATAAACGTGTAAATCGTGTTTTAAAAAGTGAAATGCGTCACAAATCTAGCAACTATATACATTCTGCAGACAGACTCTTCAAAGTCAAGGCTGAAACCATGATGTCATGGGTTTTCTGATGTTGTTCATCTTAATTATTATCTCCTAATTATCGACTCGTTTAGATTTAGTTATTTACATTTTACGAACACAGATACCAGTTCTTCAGAAACGTTAGATTGGATTAAAACAATCATAGATGTAGTTTTTCATTATAGCTTCAAAATGTTTTGTAAGTAAATTATTTTTACTTGCTGATTACAGAAAGCAAGAAAGGCTTGCGGGATACATTTTATTTCTAATATTAAAATGTATATTCCTAGTGTTTTTAGTTTGAAATACTACCCCCTTCCTCCCTAATGTTGGGATGTTCGGTTTTCGACCAAAGCAGCTTCCCATATATACTAAGTGACATATAAATCCGAACACCCAGTTTAAATGGTTTTATTTTAATAAAATTTTGTATAAGTACTTAATGAAGCATAATAAGTAAATCATAAAAATTTCAAAATAATTGCACTGCTTTAAAGCCCTTTGACCTTTAATAATGTGTGGATGCACCCTGATGTGCTACGCATTCTCCAACGCGCCTAGGCATGCTTCTGATCAGGTGGTCAATGTCCTCCTGTGGTATCTCATTCCAGGCAACCACCAACTCCTCTCGAAGTGCTTCTAGAGTCTGAGGAGGACGTTGCAAATTGAGCAATCTCCTACCCATCATATCCCACACGTGCTCAATTGGGGATAAGTCGGGAGATCTTGGTGGCCATAGTAACAATGTGACATCATTATGTTGAAAGAAGTCTATTGTGACTCTTGTAACATGTGCTCGGGCATTATCTTGTTGGAAAGTTGGATCTGCCAGGGTTACAAGATAGGGTAAAAGATGGGGTTCTAGAACTTCGTGTATATAACGCTGCGCGTTCATGTTACCTCTGATGAAGATTAAGGGTGACCTGGAACCATAAGCTATAGCACCCCAAACCATAACTCCAACAGTGTGATGAGCATGTCTTTCAACAAAAAACTGCGGATTCCTCCTTTCACCACGTCGCCTTCTAACCCTGGCACGACCATCGTGCATGCCTAAACAAAATCGAGACTCGTCACTAAAGACAATACTGTTCCATTCCTGATCCCAGAGTGACCGTTGTCTGCACCACTCAAGGCGATTACGTCGGTGTTCTCGAGTTAAAGGGAGGACCCAGTGTGACCGGTATGAAAACAAGCCAAAACTTCTCATTCGTCGGTAAACACTTCGCATGCCAATAGGTCTTCCGTGTTCTGCAAACCATTCATTTGTAATGGACCTGGTAGTGGAGAAACGGTCCCTTAAGGCCAATAATCCTAGGCGGCGATCTTCACGGTCTGTTGTTCTACGGCGGCGTCCAGTGCCCCTTGCTCTTTGCGTACGGCCTTCTCGAAGCCATGCCTGACAACAAATAACCACAGTGTCTACACTTCTTTGCACTCTAACTGCAATTGCCCGAAAAGAAGGTCCAGCTTACCGAAGTCCCACTATACGGCCCCTATCAAACTCACTAAGTTGACGAAATCGTACAGGTCTCCGTACTCTAGGCATCGTAACCTATCGTAAAGGATGTCAAGAACCAAAATCCGCCAACGTTGATTCTTTACTGCGGCTGAAATATTAATTTTTAGAGCGTTAGTGAATTAAAAAAAAGCAGTATAAAAACCGGAATGTCCAACTGATAAGGCTGAAAATTGTTTCACTTGTTATTTACAGTAAGATAAATACATTCGCCAACTTTTATTAAAATAAAACCATTTAAACTGGGTGTCCGGATTTATATGTCACTTAGTATATTTTATTTCTATCGTTAAAATGTATTTTCCTGATGGAGGTATCTTTACATCTGATGCACGAAAAAATATTCTGAATCGGTTTTTTGCACAATGTTATTCAAATCGGAGACCTCTCAATGAGTCTGCATGTTGACGGACAAAAAATTGCAACAAGCATATTGAAGCAAATTTCAAAAATCATTTATTTCGCCTCAGAGGTTTTCCGAGGCATTCTCAACAACATTCTTATGTACTTTCCTCTGAAGTTGATAGTTTTCGAGGAGATATAGTGATTTAATATCTGAAGTGCAAAATATGCCATCTTGGTGGTGAAAAAGCTAAAATTTGTTGCCAAAATTCCTAAATATTTTCCAGACATCCATTAACTAGTTCCCGAAATATTTTAGGGGGTGTTATTATTGGCGAACCTTGTAGGTTGTTCCACAGACAGTCTCTGTACCCTTGGGAGAAGGGTAAACTTCTGGATGTACGATGTTCGACACGATTAGGATAGGAGGCCAAAGTCAAGTATGTCTATGTGGAAAACACCCACGTTATATTATCTACTTGTAAAGGTATTATAAATATTATTCACTAATTTTGAGCTTTTCCAATATTAGTTTCTGGAGAATGACTTCAGTGCTCATATGTAAGTACTCAGTTGCAGAGGCCAGGTACATGTTTCTATTTGTTACATAATTAATCGACGCGTATGTATAGCACGTACCCATATGTCAACTAATGATATAAAAGGTAAATCTAAACAATAAAACACTACCAGAAGCATGAAGTGGTGGTCAGTAGTTTGGTGTTTTGTTATTTTTGTATTAGAGGATAGATATCTTCTTGCTAGAGGAAATGAGGTACGTCATGAAATAGTACTTAGTGAATCAATGTGCGTTTTTCAGTATGATGTCAACATACACTGATCAAAAATAATCATCTACAAGGTTTATTTTCTATTAACTTGTATAACAAGTTTTAACAAAAACTAGAGCAGTAGCTGACATTATAAAAAAATATTAGTACTGAAGAACCAGTCGAAAGTTCTTCTTCATTTTCCATTCTTCTCATGGCCTGTTCATGTAACGTTTGAAACTTATTATCGGGTTATCGCAATTTCTTCTTAGGCTTACTGGCGAGGAAGTATTGTAATCGCAAAGATCTAATTTGAAATACTATGCTATGCTTTTGGATGTTATATGATATGACACAAAAAACCATGTCACCCATTTCTGTCAATCTGTCGGCCTGTCAGTTTGCCCTCTAATCCTTAGCCCGTCTATAACTTGGAAAGTACTGCTCAAAATTGGATGAAGTGCTTACACAAAGCTATTACTAAGTCAAAAAGACATTGCAACATTTGGAAATTGGGGGTTGAGGACTGCAGGTGGTGGGCGAGAGTATAGGTCAATTTTTTGTGCTAGGAATTTATAGGATCATTTCCAATCCCGGTAATAGTACGCTCTATTAGACGTATTTCAAAGATTGTATTGTATTCGCGAATGCAACGTCGTGCTGAGTTTCCGAATGCCGTGACAAGTTGCGACGTTACTGGGTGGGCGGTACTGTCGGTAGGCTAGGTCGCAATATTATCAAATCTGTGGGGAAAATAAATTAATTGTATGAGCCTGTTTGGCTGACATGATCCTTTCAATTCCTTTGTTATACGAGGGAGTAACTAGTACCGAATGTAATCCTTTATGAGTTATTGCTAGCGTTGTGTAGGAAGTGCAGAGTTAACCTACTTGGCGCCATCTTTTCTAGCTTAGACCGGTCCGCAAATCATGCTTATTTTCCAAAAACAGGTTAGAGAGAGAATAGTTTCTTATCTAAAAGTAAGAGTGAATTTTAGTAATACTTCGTGCTACGGACTGTAATCGTGCACTGATTCAAGGAGGGATTGCTTTGTGATTTCACCTACTACTGCATCTTTGTTCATTGAAAGAACCCTTTCCTGTTGAATATTACGAATATCCATTCTTGGCGAATATAAAAAAGTCGCAGGGATTTTGAATGCGGAATAAGGAACTATTGAACCGAAATAACCATAAAGTTTACATTTATTGTCAATCACGTCGCGGTAATTATGTAACGATAGCGCGTACAAATTTGGTAATTGCTATTTTGGATCTCCCAAACATCCGTCTTGCGTATCTCTGTATTGTTTTATGAATAATTTACATCGGCCACGGGTTACTAGTTCATAGTTAGAACGTAGTTTTTAAATAATGACATGAAAAATTTGAAATTGGTGAATAGAATTCCTTCCTGAATTACATAAAAGTCTTACTAGTTGTACAGGGTGCTTGCAAAGTTGTGTAATTTATTTTAACTGCTTGTACGATTCGTCAAAAGGATATACCAAAAATCGCTTATATACGTATAAAAGTAGCATAATAAAAGAAATAGTAAAATATTAAAAATTTTAAAAAATAAGAATGTAATTACACAGATTTTTTTGATATTCTCGAACCACTGCCGCGTAAAATCTTAGCGATTTTGTGTGTTTGAAAAAAAAACGCTTCTTAGGTACCCTTAGCTGGCCACTATAAACCGATTTTCATCATTGAAATAGTAGTAATCTTGTGTGACAATCTCATCAAAATCCGAGTAGTACAAACCGAAAAATACAGACCGACGGAAACAAATGACATGTTTTTTCGTGATGTTGGTACATGTCAATTCAATTCAATTCTTTATTCATGTCACAATACATAAAATATGTTTACATACGTCAGTAGATCAAATGAGAATTGCATTAGAATTAAAACAAAGGGAGTGCTAATGATCATAAAAAATTACAAACAAGTACACCAGCACTCATAAAGATATAACGCTAACATATCATAATAAGATTTATAGTTAAAATTTATGTCTTACAAACTCTTCAAACGTGTCAAATGAGTTATTAATAAGAATTTTCTTGATTTGAACTTTAAAATCTTTAAGCTGAAGCGATTTTAAGCCGTCTGGAATTACATTAAAAAATTTGACCGCCCAATAACCAGATCCATCTTGACACCTTCTCAGTCGCCAATAAGGAGGTACTAGATTGTTCTTATGCCTAGCATTGTGCTCATGGACGTCCCCATGAGTTACATAGTTAGAGTTTCTTTTAACGAATAGTAGATTATCAAAAATATTGACAAAGGTATCTCTGCAATCGTCCCTGTAGCCCAAACGGCTCACAACCCTAACTGCTCTTCTTTGCAAGGCGAACAGTCTATGGACCCCTGAAAAATGCCCCCAAGCCAGAATGGCGTAGGATATATGTGAATGGCAAATGGCAAAATAAGCCATTCTCAATATGGCTACAGGAACACAAGAAGACAGACTCCGTAGCACATATATACCTTTGGTGGCCTTTCCAGCAACACTGTCAATGTGAAGGCCCCATTGCAATCTTGGATCCAAAGTAACCCCCAGAAACTTGGCTTTACCAACCAAATCACTGTCTCCAGGCAGGCTTCGCATGGAGAACACCATTCTCTTTGTCTTATCTTTATTTAGCAACAGCTTATTGGAGCAAAACCACAGCTCAGCCTCATCCTGCGCAGCCAGAGACTGTGCCATTGAGCGCTCAAAACTGTTAACGGTGTGAGAGACGGTCGTATCATCCGCGAAGAGAGTAAATTTTGCCATATTGTTATTGAGAGGTAAATCATTTATGTAAATTAAAAAAGAATTGGGCCCAAGATGGAGCCCTGTGGGACGCCAATATTAACACTTCGCTCCGCTGATGTCACTCCATCTCATCTCACCACCTGAGTTCTATTACTAAGGTAAGACTCAATTAGTTTAACGGAATCATAACTAAAGTTGTAAGCATGGAGCTTTTTTAAAAGGATGTCATGGCTCACACAATCAAATGCCTTACTAAGATCGCAGAAAAGAACCGTGTTATACCTTCCTCCATGGAAAGCATCAATTATAAAAGAAATCAGGTTAAGTACATCCATAACAGTGCTCTTACCCTGGCGAAAACCAAACTGATATTGTGAAAACAATTCATTTGCCTCAAAAAAGGTTACCAGTCTCAAAGCCATACATTTTTCAAAGATCTTAGAGATAACTGGAAGAAGGGATATAGGTCTGTAGTTCTCTGGTGAATCAACATTGCCGTTCTTAAAAACAGGTGTGACACTAGCTCTCTTTAGAACAGTTGGAAAAATATTTTCTCTAAGACAAATATTAATCAGTCGTGTTAAAGGGATCAAAATTATGTTCTTTATACATTTTAAAATTTTTAAATTGAAACCAAAAATATCTTTACTGTTTTTATTTTTGAGATTATCTATTACTTCGCGAACCTCGTTACATGTGACTTCAGAAAAAGAAAACAGAGGTGGCGGTACCAGGAAATCAATATCATTAACAGGATCTAAATGTACATCAGGGATGTGATTTACTATATTACCTGCTATGCTACAAAAAAAATTATTAAAGTCATCAGGTGACAGGTCACTGCTCCCAGGGCACTTATTACTCTTATCTCTTTTTTTGTTAATGATATCCCACACGGTTTTAGCAGGATTATTTGAGTTCTTTACAAGGTTGTCATTAGCATTTATCTTAGCTTTTCTTATTTTATTTTTATATAGATTTTTGTATTTTGCATAATACTGGTCTTTCAGCTCTCTCAAAACCTCAAATGTTCCCTCATTGCCCTTAGTTCGGTATTAAACCAGGAAATATTATTGCCCTGGTCGGATCTAACCACATAAGTTTTCTTTGGAAAAGAGTAGGTATAGGCTTCTTCAAGAATATCCATGAAGTGGCTAAACTTTTGTTCACCACTGGTACTATCAACAGTAATGAAATCCCAAGATATCTCCGATAACCTACTGTGTAACATAAACAAGCCTCTTTGTGTTACTGGTCTATACATTTTTTTATTTTGAGTAAAACCTGTGGTTTCACAACCAAGAAATTTAACCAGCTGACCTTCATGATCTGATATTCCAATATCACATACCTGAGAGCCACACAGCTCCATCGCACTACCAAGGAAAACATTGTCAAGACAGGAGTCCCCACGAGTTGGTTCAAAGATTGTTCTTTCTAAGCCAAAGCTAGCGAGAAGGTCACACAATTTACTTGTATTAACATCTAATGTGTTGAAACTTACATTGAAATCCCCAGCAAGAATAATTTGCCTATTCGTACTCAATTGTGTTAATATTCCCTCCATTGATTCCAAGAAGGTATCAAAATTCCCTGAAGGAGATCTGTAAATAGTTAAAACATAAACATTCAGACTCTGACAATAAACCACACAGTACTCAATACATTTCTCTATATAAAAGGCAGGATTAATACTTATAACACATGAATTAAATTTATTTTTGCTAAAAATTGCAGTTCCTCCACCTGTGAAGTCCTTCCGTTCAGAAGACCCTCTCACCATGTATCCCTGCAAATGGACAACTTCCATTTCTTCTTTGGTCAACCAATGTTCTGTCAGGCACAGTACATCAATGTCCTCGTCAGCAAGAAAGGCTTCCAACTCATCTATTTTTCTTCTTAGGGATCTCACATTTATATGCAGAATCTTTACTTCCTGCTGTTTAGGTTTTCCTTTGCCATATTTTGGCGCTGCAGGTTCCGAAAATGGTTTATTAGGATGCCCCTTGGCCACAGATCCGGACATAAATATTTATCAATGTCATCATGAGGAACAGTAAGTCGAAATGAGCTGCAGTACTTTTCTTTCTTGGTTTTCATTTTTTCGCAGGTGTATTCATTAGAGTTGTTTTATTTCAGAAAATTTTCCACGCTTTCGCTGGTAACTTCTGGTGCCAGGCCAGATAAAAACAAAGATGATACTCTGGAGATGCTGGTTTAAGGCTGCATATATTTACATTGGAGCCTCTCAAAGGTTCAGGTCGGCTGGATTTATCAACAGGTCTGTTTCTGATCCAGATTTTATTTGTATTTTGGTTTCTAACCTCTACCCATTTGTCTTCATCTTTCTCAGTCCGAGTAGCGATGGGCACTGAATTCACGATGACATGCAGCACTAAGATTTTCCAGAATTACGATTTCGTTGTTTGCAACCGCATTATGGATTTAGTGAGGTTCCTCGTTAGATGTCACTGAATCCGATGGATGTGTGGTATTTTCGTATTGTTGGACCTTTTTATTTAGATAGTCAACTCTATCTTCAAGGAAATGCACCTTTTCTCTCAAAAGTTGACTGTTTTCTTCCGCGATTCGATTTTTGCTTTGCAGTTCTTTCACCAGCGTTCATACAAGATCCAACTCCGTTGAATCTTCACAGAGCAGCATGTTTACACTCTCTCTTCTAACCTTGCTTGATTCGTGCATACAATTGGTATTTTTCAACTCGCCTGCCTGCTCCAGACAAGCAGGATGAAACGAGTTATTACACTTTTTACACTTCACTACGTTCACAAATTTTTTTTTACAGTGCAGGCACAGTATGACCTTCTTTTTTTCATTCTTTTTAAGAGACGAATTTTCAGACGACTTCTCACTTTCCGCCATCTTGACTTGTTCGTCATAAAACGTCCAAAAAACATAGTATCTCATTTTTTGCGATCGCAGTTCTTCCTCGCCAGTTTTGTCATAGAGAGTAAAAGGACGACCTAGTCTGAAACAGCCGAAGGGACTGATTGACCTTTTTTCAGATTCCACCACATTCTTCCAAAACAAAACCAAACGCCACATCCCTAAACAAAGAAAATGACAATAACTCAACCACCAACAGTAATGGTACTGTCAGTACCATCTTGAAATTCAGCGACGACCAACCCAGCGCCAAGCAAAGGAACGGGGGTAGGGATGGAGACAATGGCGGTGGAGGAGGGGGCTTATTTAACGATTTCTTTGGAGATGGGGGAGGCCAATTTGGTGGAACTTTTGGAGGTAATGGAGGAGGATTCGGAAATTCTTTTCCGGATTTGTTTGGAGGAGGCTTTGGAAGGAACTTTGGAGGATCATTTGGAGGAGATGGCGAAAGTGGTGGGGGTAGGTATTTGACTTCGTACTTCCTAGTTGCTTTGGTGCCAAATTAGATAAGGTGAATTGATCTGCTTTTCATAATCACAACAATAATAATAATGTTCATTGGCCTAACTACAAAATGTTCGTGAAATAATAACGGTGGTGTCCAGTAAACATAAGACACCCAAAAAAAAAAGGTATTCCTATACAGTTGGTTTTTAACCGAACTTGAATTATTTGAACGAAACAAATTTACTAAGTACAAATGTATAAAATTGTATCATTTATTGTCAAATAGCATATTGATTCTTAAGATCCGTATCTTTAATTCAATTTTTAAGCGTTGTTTATATTTTATGTTAAAATTTTGCAGAAACAACATTATAAAATGTTGAGCACAGAAAGAAGAATGATCTTTGACTGTTAGTTTTATTTAGTCTGAGGATAAGTGCAGATATTTCCTTGAATCGCGTTTGATGGTTGTGTCTAATACAATATAACAAATTTGGATTTTTTGTCAAACAAGTCAAAAAATTTTCAGCCTTATCAGTTGGACATTCCGGTTTTTATACTGCTTTTTTTTTAATTCGCTAACGCTCTAAAAATGAATATTTCAGCCGCAGTAAAGAATCAACGTTGGCGGATTTTGGTTCTTGACATCCTTTACGTTCGGTTACGATGCCTAGAGTACGGAGACCTGTACGATTTCGTCAACTTAGTGAGTTTGATAGGGGCCGTATAGTGGGACTTCGGGAAGCTGGACTTTCTTTTCGGGCAAGTGCAGTTAGAGTGCAAAGCAGTGTAGACACTGTGGTTAGGTGTTGTCAGGCATGGCTTCGAGAAGGCCGTACGCAAAGAGCAAGGGGCACTGGACGCCGCCGTAGAACAACAGACCGTGAAGATCGCCGCCTAAGATTATTGGCCTTAAGGGACCGTTTTTCCACTACCAGGTCCATTGCAAATGAATGGTTTGCAGAACGCGGAGGACCTATTGGCATGCGAAGTGTTTACCGACGAATGAGAAGTTTTGGCTTGTTTTCATTCCGGCCACACTGGGTCCTCCCTTTAACTCGAGAACACCGACGTAATCGCCTATTGTCTTTAGTGACGAGTCTCGATTTTGTTTAGGCATGCACGATGGTCGTGCCAGGGTTAGAAGGCGACGTGGTGAAAGGAGGAATCCACAGTTTTTTGTTGAAAGACATGTTCATCACACTGTTGGAGTTATGGTTTGGGGTGCTATAGCTTATGGTTCCAGATCACCTTTAATCTTCATCAGAGGTAACATGAACGCGCAGCGTTATATCCACGAAGTTCTAGAACCCCATCTTTTACCATATCTTGACGCCTTGGCAGATCCAACTTTCCAACAAGATAATGCCCGATCACATGTTGCACGAGTCACAATAGACTTCTTTCAACATAATGATGTCACATTGTTACCATGGCCACCAAGATCTCCCGACCTATCCCCAATTGAGCACGTGTGGGATATGATGGGTAGGAGATTGCTCAATTTGCAACGTCCTCCTCAGACTCTAGAAGCACGTCGAGAGGAGTTGGTGGTTGCCTGGAATGAGATACCACAGGAGGACATTGACCACCTGATCAGAAGCATGCCTAGGCGCGTTGGAGAATGCGTAGCACATCAGGGTGCATCCACACATTATTAAAGGTCAAAGGGCTTTAAAGCAGTGCAATCATTTTTAAATTTTTATCATTTACTTATTATACTTCATTAAGTACTTATACAAAATTTTATTAAAATAAAACCATTTAAACTGGGTGTTCGGATTTATATGTCACTTAGTATCTATTTACCGGCAGTAAAAAGCTGAGATTCGCTGAAAAGATTTTTTGTGGTATAAAATTTCTCTTTGTTCAGCATTAACTTCAAAATCCACTTCTGCGTAATTTCAATTTTTCTATGACAATTATTCATGACGACCCCATGCTAAGATTCCATAAGATAGTGATGATTGAACAAGGGCATGATGTTTCATGTGTAGATATGTTTCGCTTAAAAAACTGGTGAAATGTTTGAATTCCGGAATAAAGTATCTTAATTTACTTATTAAATTTTCAACGTGTATAATTCGTCTTAAATGGTTATCTATGAATCTCCCTAAATATTTAAATTTATCAACGGATTGTACGTTTTTGCAGCTATTCAACATTTTAATTTGGAGTTGATTAAATTTTAGAGAATCTGTTGTCGCAAAAAATGTAATAAAACAAGTTTTGTTGGAGTTGATTGTTAAAATCCTTTCTGTGAAAATTTTTTTAACCTTTTGAAAATCTAATATATACGTAATTCTCCCCAATCTTTGTCTGAATGAATAATTGACATGTCGTCTGCGAAACCAATAATTTCTCCATCGTTTTTCAACTTAAGGGGGTCATTAATATACAAATCATGTTTATTCTGTTCTTCTTGATACCAATCAAGTGATTGTCGGGGATTAACCCCGTGCATATTTGTTTAAAAAACTTTCTCTCCGCGTTGAGATTGTTTGGATCAATCTGAACAAAAAACGTTGTTAGTAAAATGTCTCTAAAGTTGACCGCCATCGAGTTATAACCATTCGAAGTCTGGAAACCCATAAACTAGCCATTTTCAATGCTTACGAGTTTGATAAGGAATTATCATTTTGAGTCTGCGAAGTGTGTAAATTGAAACATACAAACGTCGAAGAGTATATTGGCCTTAATTTGTTTTAAAATATTGTTATTGAAGCGTTAGTAAAGCGCTATTGCTTTTTTATACTGAAGCAGCCGCAGCTGCTATAATCTCTTACTTAAAAGGAAGAAAGCAGCAAAACATATCCCGCTGTATTCAACGGAATGCCGCGTTGGCAGTGGCATACGATGTGTTTTACTGCTCTCTTCCTTTTCGATACTCGAGTATATAAGAAGCTTAAAGATACTTTGTTAAACCGATTTTTCAACTGGGAAGATAGCCAAAATAAAGTCTTGCACAAAGTAGCGTCCATGAACGAGGAAAGGCTGAAACAACATGCCAATGATTTCTATCTGTTGGACAGGCACAACGATGTCCAACGGTTAGAGAGGGCCAAGCCATACGAACTTGTGTAGTGCTTTGTGTTCAAAGTATAGCATGTGCACGAGTTTATAATGGTAGTATTAATTATACATTAAAGAACATCAATGGGTTGACTCTAGTGAAAAGCATTAGTTTGTAAGAAAACAGTCAGTGTCTGGTGAAATTAATCAGTTTTAGCATTATCGGCGCCAAAGCCACTCTAAAAAACCTTTAACGAAGGATTACTAAGGACTCTTTTCGTTCAGGATGATCAAAAAACAAAAACGGAATAAGGCATATAAGTAATTTTTAGGTTTTGGAGGAGGTTCAAATCGAAGAGGAGGAGGGGGAGGAGGAGGCGGTAGATTTGGAGGAGGAGGAGGTAACAAACCTATTTGTATAATAATTCTTGAAGTTTCTGAAATAAGGCTTATTTGCTCAGGAAAAGGAGATGGTAACGGATTTGGGGGAGCTGCAGGAGGTTTTGGAGGAGCTTCTGGAGGATTTGGAGGTGGTTCAAGAGGATTTGGTGACTCTGGAGGAGGTGGTCAGTAAATCGTCCTCGACTTATTTTTTTGAAATACTGACAATGCTGTATTTTTAATGTAGGTGGAGGCAATAACTTTGGAGGAGGAAGCGGTATGAATGGAGGAAGAGGTCAAGGAGGTAGAGGAATGGCACCAGGTGGTGACGATGGTACGTAAAGGTCCGCTGCGTTATGATAATATGACTATTATTGTTATTCAGAAGAGTCTCATTAACACAAGCTGTTAGGTCTTACGGTTAAGTTATGATTGAGTATTAGGAGGCACACTGGATGAATATCTAAATGTATTTCTATTTTTGAATATACTTTCTTGTAGACATGAATATGATCGCTGGTAGCGGAAGAGGCACAAGAAAAGGTTTCGGTGCAGGCAATAACAGCTTTGGAGGAGCAGAAGACAGATTGGGAGGAGGAGCCAATGGAAGAGCTGGAGGAGGTACTAGAAGAGGTGGAGCAGGATCTGGAGGTGAGGCAGAAGGCCGATTTGTTGGTGCAGGGAACTTTGGAGGAGGAAACGGGCGAGATAATGGGAGGGGAGGTGTTGGTGTAAGAGGACGTGGGGGTTTTGGAGGAGGAGAGGATGGATTCAATTCTGGAGGTACAAAAATTTATCTCTCAATATACAACCAGGAGACTATACAGGTTTTTACTGTAAACTGCTCAAGTTATAGTCGATAGGAGTTGGTTAAGTGGTTTTCAGGAACCAGGAGGTTGTAAATAGGGACGCAGGAAAGTAAACGTCAATTTGACATAGACGCCATCTTTGTTTTCTGTCACCGACATGTCATTTTGTTAGTTGAATGTTTACGATTGATTGCTATGGAGTCGTATTCAATTGAAGACCGCATTAAAGTTATTCAAGAGCACTACTAATATGGTGCAAAAATAAAAAACACGTTTCGCGCGCTTCGTGAACATTTCGGTCGCAACAACCGCCCAAACGAAACAACCATCGGTCGTCTGGTGCGTAAATTCGAGGCAACAGGTTCTGTGGCAAATCGGCCAGGCTCTGGCCGGCCAAGGAGCGTTCGCACACCGGAAAATATTGCTGTTGTGAAGGAGAGTGTGAGAGACGATCCGAAACAATCGACAACGCGTCGATCCCAAGAATTGGGCATTTCGAGAACCAGTTTGCTCCGCATTCTCCACAAGGATTCGAATGTACACGCCTACAAGATCCAATTGACGCAAGAGCTGCGTCGGGCCGACCATTTTTCGCGCCGACGTTCTCAGATTGTCTCCTTGAACAACGCCCGATTGGTGTGAATTTTTCATCAAAAATCATGTTCAGCGACGAAGCGCATTTCACTTTGAATGAGACGGTAAACAAGCAAAACTGCCACATCTGGGCGAACGAAAATCCCCGTGAGTATCAAGAGCAGCCGATGCATCCTCAAAAAGTGACTGTGTAGTGTGCATTGTGGTCAAAAGGCATCATCGGACCTTACTTTTTCGAAAATGCGGCCGGGGACGCCGTTACCGTCAATTCTGAGCGATATCACGTGATGATAAAGGACTATTTTTTGCCGCAACTTGAAGGAACGGATATGGACGATGTTTATTTCCAACAAGACGGTGCAACATGCCACACAACCAACGTCAATATCCATCGATTGCAGTCCTTCTTCGGTGATCGCGTGATTTCGCGCAGAGGAAACGTGCCATGGCCACCAAGATCGTGCGATTTGACTGCCTTGGACTTCTTTTTATGGGGATATTTGAAAAGCAAAGTCTACGTCAACAAACCAGCCACCCTCCAAGAAGTCAAAAACAACATCATTGCCGAGATAAATGCCATAGAACCGACCATGTCGCAAAATGTCATTGAAAATTTCGACCACCGCGTGGACGTCTGTAAATCCAGTCGTGGTGAACATTTGAGCGATATTATTTTTCACACATAAATGGTATAAATGAACCTTCAAAATGAAGTACCCAACTTGATTTGAATATCAATCTTTCTTGTTTTAATATGCGTTTACTTTTCTGCGTCCGTTTTGGACAACCCCATACTTTGAAAGATAAGCTAGGGCTTTGCTCAACGATTTTTGGATGTAGTAATGTTTACCCTGAAAATATATTGCAGACGCCAACGGTATGAGAGGCGCCAAAGGCAAAGCTACTCCGGGAAAAGGTAACACAGGTCGTGGAGGGAATAATAGAGGAAACTCAAATGGAAAAGGAAATGGTAGAAGAGGTTTAGGAGATGATGACGAATTTGGTGCTGAAGGTATGATAAGCTTCTACTGAGACCTATCCCCTCATTCATTTGTCGGCTTATTACTGTGTGTATTTTATATCGAATAAATTGGACACGATCAGAAGAGGTGGAGGATCTATAGCTAGTTGTAACAAAGGCAGAGAGGGTAGATTTGGAGGCGATGAGGAATTCGGAGAGAGAGGCAATGGCAGAAGTACTCGAATATGAACCATTCTGGTAGCATCTTATATACCATTGCATGAGCTATAGTAATAGGTTTTCTGACAGCCCTATCTACACTTATGACTAACTACAGGGCGGTCCATAAGTCCTTTGAAATTTCAAATTTGAATAAAATTTAACGGGTGAGCGTGAGCGGCGCGGGCGAGGTGGGGGCAGTATCTTTAGTGTCTGGGAATTCAGTCGCCATGGAGTGTTTCACTGGAGCGGATCGTGCCTTTTGTGTGCGCGCGTTTTATCAAAATAATGATTCGGCAACCATTGCGCGGCGTAAATATCGAGAATACCACAATTTACACAATTTTACAAAGTGTCCAACAGCTCAAACGATTAAGAACTGGGTTGCTAAGTTCGAAGAGACTGGTTCGACGTTAGATAAACAGCGGCGGGGTCGACCAAGGACAACTCGTATTGAAGAAAACATCAACATTGTGGCACTGTCTGTTCGTCAAAATCCTACCCAGTCTACTCGTAAGCGTTCCAGTGCACTAAACGTACCCAGAACACCTTTACAGCGGATTTTAAGGAAAGATTTACGTCTGCACGCTTACAAAATTCAGTTAGTGCAAGAATTAAAAGATAATGACGCTATTCAGAGACTAAACTTTGCGAATGAAATGTTGAATCGATTTTCTTCGCTCAATAATGTGTTGTTCTCGGACGAGGCTCACTTCCATTTAAACGGGCATGTAAATAAACAAAATTGCCGTTATTGGAGCCCCTAAAATCCAAGGCGTAAGCATCAGAAGCCCTTACACAGCCCTAAAGTTACAGTTTGGGCTGCTATGTCAGCGCATGGCATCGTAGGCCCTTATTTTTTTGAGGACGACAGATGTCGCGCATTAACTGTTACTTCAGAGCGGTATGTAGCAATGATAGAAGAGTTTTTGACACCAGCGTTGCAGAATTTTCCAGGCTATAATACGCAGACCTGGTTTCAACAGGACGGAGCAACTGCCCACACCTCCAACACTTCTATGCCCGTCGTCTGTCAACTTTTTCCCAGCAAAGTAATTTCTCGGAGAGGAGACATTTCCTGGCCACCACGTAGTCCAGATTTGACCCCAATGGACTTCTTTTTATGGGGCTACCTCAAGAGTGAAGTGTACGACACCACTCCGCGATCAGTTGATGTCCTGAAAGAAAATATCCGAAGAGAAGTGGCAAGCATTACAGTGTTGACTTGCCGCGCAGTCATCGACAATTTTAGACGTCGTTTATATGAGTGCCGTGATCGTAATGGATTGCATTTAGACGATGTGATTTTTAAAACATAATTCCCATTCAATAAAGATGATAACAAAATATAATAATTCTTCATAATGTAACTAGTTTGGTTTTATTCCTTTTTTTCCAGCTCAAAGGACTTATGGGCCACCCTGTATAAGAACTGCGTTTACACCTAGTATTATAAGCCGCCAAACAATGAACTTCTCTTACTTCAAAACTTAACAGTCATTATTTACTTACTTACTTTTTAGACGCTAATAGATTTAGAGGGAGCAACGGACAAGGTCAAGGAAGAAGGGGCGGTCAAGACAGAACTGGAGGTAAAGTCAAACGACAGACAATTAAGCTGAAGCTTGCACGCAACATATCTGTGATAGCAACACCTGACATAGATTGTAGATATCCATGTCCTTATATTCTATTCAATACTACTACACAATAAACTATACGTCACTTCTCTGCAGTTGATGATTGGAAAGATCTGTCACTTTACAATATTATCAGATTTCAGGTCACTACGGTATAATTTATACAGCTCCATGTATGTTAACTACTGCTTTCCGATTTGTAACACTGGTTAAGGTATTCCAAGAAGATTCCCGGTTCTATGATGTTCACGGACAATTTCCAACTCTCAACCTCCCTCGTAATTATTCCTAAGATTTCACACACGAATAAATTTTTTATTGCTGCGATTCATTTTTGTATTATCATAACAATAATTATAAAAGTACCAATAACAGTATCAATAATAATAGATTTATCTCATTGTTAAATAGCCCCAGACTAGAATAAATCAGAAAACAGTTTTACATGCAAGCTCTAAAAACGCTTGTCTGTTAAAAACGATATCAACTAATTTTTTAAACTGCATAACGTCGGTGCTTTTTGGACATCTTTTAAACTATTATACAGGGTGTTTCAGTTTATTGTTGCATAACTTTAAGATTCGATGGAACTTTTAAAATTGATGCATAAAGTCTATATAAACATGGGTCGAAAAATGCGTGGCTTCCGAAATACAGGGTGTTTAAATTTACTTTCTAAAATAGTTTTTTTTTTAAATATTTCGAACAATATGTGATGTATAATAGTGAAAATTGGTATACGGAGTTTTTTTGGTACGACAAAATGAACCATGGGCATAGTTTTACTGTAGCCGCTAGAGGGCGCTCTCTACTGTACCTGTAGTGTATTAAAATGACCGAAAATTTTTTCTTAATGCAATTTTTTGCTTTTTGAATAAAAAAACTGATTCTTCGCAATTTTCATCATAAAAAGCTCTCATGTGAGTTTTCGTTATAGTTAGCCGTTTTTGAGATATTTCGATTTTCCAGGTTCGATGCATTTTTAATTATTTATGAGAAAATAATATTTTTTTTTACATTTTCGATTTGGGCATTACAAGTAATTAAGATGATCGTTTATATTGTGTTTTTAAACACAGCAATAATTCCTAACTCCAAATAAACACAAAAAACTGAATATTAATTTGTTTAATTTTCCAATATTATTCTTAACAAATTAAATTAATTATTTACAACTAAAATGCTATTGGATAGTTAGGACAAACATACAAAATCTAAAGTAGTTGCTCGAAATGTAAACCCAATTGTTCAATACACAATTCACATCTACGAATGATCGAACGTGGTATAGCATTATTCAAATAAGGCCTTATTCCATCACATGTATTCCTGATTCTGTCTATTAGCATATCTCTTGTGGTTACGGGAGTCTGGTACACTTTTTCTTTTAGAAATCCCCACACAAAGAAATCTAATGGATTTAGGTCAGGGGATCGTGGAGGCCAGGCGACTGGTCCTCCACGGCCGATCAATCTTTCTGGATAATTTTCGTCCAGTCGGTTTCTAACTATTCTCGAATAATGAGCTGGACAACCATCGAGCTGGAACCAGGACAATCGTCTTAAAGCTAACATAACATCATCCCACATATTTGCATGTTCAGCTTTTAAAAATTCCAAGAAGGTCGCAGCATTTAACCTTGCAGGCAAAAGGTGGGGTCCAAATAGTCGATTACGGTCGATACCAATCCACACGTTCACACTAAATTCATGCTGAAAATTTCTTTCCCGAACTGTATGCGGATTTTCATACGACCAAATATGTTGATTATGAAAATTTACCACTCCACGTCTAGTGAAGCATGGCTCATCGGTCCATAAAACGTTACTTAAAAACTCCCTATTATTATCAGTTCTATCAAGAATCCACTGACAAAATGTGATTCTCCGTTCTTCGTCCCCTGGCTGTAGTCCTTGCACAGGTTGCAAATGGTAAGGACGTCTATTGTCATTTCTAAGAACACTGTGAACATATCTTGCTGAAATTCCCAAGGCACCAGAAACTCTCCTAACACTTGTGGTCGGATCTCTATCAAACTCACGCCGAATCATACGGATAAATCTGCGCTGACGAACATTTATGTTTTGACCCCTTTGGAGATTTCCAAAACCATTTTCAATTATTTGGCGATGCACTCTTACAAATACTGAGCAAGTTGGATGTCGTCTGTTTGGAAATCTTAGTGCGTATTCTCTGGCTGCTTCTGCTGCGTTTCCATTTACAAAGCCATACACAAAATGAATATCCGCTAACTCTTGATTGGAGAATAAAAATGGCATTTTTATAAAACTTACAAAAAAAAAACAGGTAAAAGAAACTAAATTTCGTGGATTCACAATTGCAAAAAAAACGTTTCAGGTTTCAACAGACAACAAAACTAACTGTCAACTAATTGACGTTTAACCTTATTCTGTTTTCAATTTCAAAAATATTTGCAGGCACAGCCTACTTCTAAAAATTATCGAGATACTGACTTTTTAACGTTATTTTATCATAAATAATTAAAAATGCATCGAACCTTAAAAATCGAAATATCTCAAAAACGGCTAACTATAACGAAAATTCACAAGAGAGCTTTTTTATGTTGAAAAGTGCGAAGAATCAGTTTCTTTATTCAAAGAGAGCGCCCTCTAGCGGCTATAGTAAAACTATGCCCATGGTTCGTTTTGTCGTACCAAAAAACCCTTGTATTCCAATTTTTACTGTTATACATCAAATATTGTTCGAAATATTTAAAGAAAACTATTTTAGAAAGTAAATTTAAACACCCTGTATTTCGGAAGCCACGCATTTTTCGACCCATGTTTATATAGACTTTATGCATTAATTTTAAAGGTTCTATCGAATCTTGAACTTATGCAACAATAAACTGAAACAACCCTGTATAAATATAGATTGAGGCTTGAATGGTTAACCCCACACATGTAGTTGGAAGCTTCGAGCACTACTAGTGATAATGCTGTTGACCTATCATGTGGTGAGTGTTAGCAGACATTGCTAGGAGATATAGTGCAACTAATATTTGATCTTTAGATAGACGCTTTGGAGGTAGAGATGACGAGAATGACTATGGGGGAAATAACGACTACGATAGAGGGCTTAAAGGAGGTCAGAGACGTAGAGGAGGTCGGATAGAAGAGGACGTCGGACTTGGAAACTATGGCGAGGCACTGACCTTGTTTGGATTCGATGCTCCTTCTCTAAGGCAAGCTGAGAAGGCAGGCAAAACACGAACCAGCACTATGACACCTCTTCAAAACAAGCGTACAGAAGAAGGTGGAAAATCTGGAGGATCGTGACTTTGTAGGTAAATATGTATGTACTGTACTTCTGTGTATTTTGTTCTATGACTTGAAGCCTAATTAAACTCAGTAATCGGAAAAAAAGGTGCAATCGGTTTTTCTTGCGTATGTTGTTTACTTTTCAAATGCCTAGTGCTTCAAATTGTCAAATTTCAATGTTGTAGCACTTCAATTTTTGTGTCAAACTTCAACCTACCTAAACTAACTACATCTCATGGTATCATATTCTTTACTGTAACATATATTTTTGTTTCAGGATAGTGAAGTTCTACAAATGGTGATAAAGATTCTGTTTTGCGAGACAGCACAACAAAAAGCATTACCTGAAGTGGGGATTCCTTATTTTTCAATAATAATTTTGAATATACGTTTTGTTGTTTGTTTTCGTGTATCCTAAAACCTGCTTCTTTATTTCGTCGTTAGTAATGTTCCACTAAAATTTTCATAATGAAGTCATCTTTGTTTGGACCTGAGAAGAGGGGATAAAACCTTGGTGTTCTGAGAGCCTGAACCAGTGTCAAGATGAAGGTTGTAGCAGTAGGTTTAGTGTTACTTTTGGGCTGTATATTTATGATAGAAGGGAAGGTGGTAAGTCACTGAAAATCAGAAAATGAAACTAGTTTGCAGTTTTTGCAGTAATACAGTGTAGTCCACAATTAGTTTACATCATGATTCAAGAAACAACACATTTTTGAAATTCTCCTATATCGAGATACAAGTTTTTGGTATGATGAACTTCTAGATATATGTTGTTGACACAGCTTCAGTAAGCAACAGAAAATAATTTTCAGTCTAGGGTAATTACTTTGTAATACTTTGTCAACTACTAAAGTTTTAGAGACGTTTGATACTTTAGATATTTCAGAAAAGTTGTAGTCTAAAGATTTGGAGTCATATTTTTGAAGTGAAAAGTGATCATCGATGTTAAGCTTGATGCTTTTGATTTTACGCATCATAAAGTCTGGAAGCTACTTACAAATACCTGCTTTCCATGCTTTTTAGTGAAGGAGCTTATACAAAATTGTTCACAGAGGCACTTAATGAAAAGTCAAATGCTTTTAATGATTTCTACTTCCTACTCATCTGGCGAGGAAGTATTGTAATCGCGAAATATTTCGAAAATGAGACATTGCGCGGACGGGAACGAAATGGCTTTTTAATTTTTTAAAATCGGCGTATTGACGGCGGAGACAATGTCCAAAAACGAAAAACAATAAAAAACGCTCATAATAACCACCAACAACCAAGACCTACATAAAGAACGACTACTACCCTTACACTTAACTGCTTATCGGTGACATAATATAATCAAAACATAATAGAGAATATAAATATTATTATAAAAAGCATAGACCTAAGTGAGCATAAAAATGGTTACACTTTACATATTTGTTTAGCAGAATTTGTTAGCCCTTGGCGAGCAGCCTGCCTCTAACGTGCCCACGATAATGATATTTCAGGGGCTCTTGATGATTTCCAGAAAATTTTTGCAAGGGTTGACAATTGGGAGATTGAAGTTGGTTGTCCATTTTTTGGTGATAACGCTTTAAGTTACCAATCATCGTAGTTCTAAGCACCTATTAGACGTATTTCACACATTATAGATTTCCACGTACATTTGCCTTTAAAAGTGTTATTTATTATTTTCAATATACGCGTGCCGGACTTCGAATGCTGAGGTATAACTTAAATGACGCTGTATGTACTCGTGTATGCCCCGTTGCTGGGAGGTCGGTACTGTGCGGAGTATAATTCTTTAGGAATCGATGATATATTTGCATAGAAAACGTAGGAACAGCCTATTTGACGTCATTTTTCAATATATTGTATGGGGTTGTCCAAAACGGACGCAGGAAAGTAGACGCATATTAAAACAAGAAAGATTGATATTCAAATCAAGTTGGGTACTTTATTTTGAAGGTTCATTTATACCATTTATGTATGAAAAATAATATCGCTCAAATGTTCACCACGACTGGATTTACAGACGTCCACGCGATGGTCGAAATTTTCGATGACATTTTGCAACATGGTCGGTTCTATGGCATTTATCTCGGCAATGATGTTATTTTTGAGTTCTTGGAGGGTGGCTGGTTTAGTGACGTAGACTTTGCTTTTCAAATATCCCCATAAAAAGAAGTCCAAGGGAGTCAAATTGCACGATCTTGGTGGCCATGGCAGATTTTCTCTGCGCGAAATCACGCGATCACCGAAGAAGGACTGAAATCGATGGATATTGACGTTGGTTGTGTGGCATGTTGCACCATCTTGTTGGAAATAAACATCGTCCATATCCATTCCTTCAAGTTGCGGAAAAAAATAGTCCTCTATCATCACGTGATATCGCTCAGAATTGACGGTAACGGCGTCCCCGGCCGCTTTTCGAAAAAGTAGGGTCCGATGATGCCTTTTGACCACAATGCACACCACACAGTCACTTTTTGAGGAAGCATCGGCTGCTCTTGATACTCACGGGGATTTCCGTTCGCTCAGATGCGGCAGTTTTCCTTGTTTACCTTCCCATTCAAAGTGAAATGCGCTTCGTCGCTGAACATGATTTTTGATGAAAAATTGGCATCAATTTGGCGGTGTTTAAGGAGCCAATCTGAGAACGTTCGGCGCGAAAAATGGTCGGCCCGACGCAGCTCTTGCGTCAATTGGATCTTGTAGGCGTGTACATTCAAATCCGTCTGGAGAATGCGGAGCAAACTGCTTCTCGAAATGCCCAATTCTTGGGATCGACGCGTTGTTGATTGTTCGGATCGTTTCTCACACTCTCCTTCACAACAGCAATATTTTCCGGTGTGCGAACGCTCCTTGGCCAGCCAGAGCCTGGCAGATTTGCCACAGAACCTGTTGCCTCGAATTTACGTACCAGACGACCGATGGTTGTTTCGTTTGGGCGGTTGTTGCGACCGAAACGTGTTTTTTATTTTTGCACCATTTTTGTAGTGCTCTTGAATAACTTTAATGCGGTCTTCAATCGAATACGACTCCATAGCGATCAATTGTAAACATTCAGCTAACAAAATGACATGTCGGTGACAGAAAACAAGGATGGCGTCTATGTCAAATTGACGTTTACTTTGCTGCGTCCCTATTGGACAACCCATTAGTACTGCAGCATATTTTTAATTCGTTGTATTTCGTAGAAAAAAGGCTTCGGAGGAGGAGGAGGCTATGTCGGAGGTTATGGTAAAGTATATGGGGTAGGATATGCGCCTCAACCGGTGGTACACTACGTTGCTAGACCCATTAGTCCAGGTAAGATAAAAATATAGTAGCTATAAGTTTAATATAACTCCTGAAAATGTGCTGTGGTTTTCGACTCTATTGCACGCCGAATCTCATATTTAGATTACTGTTTATTAAACGGCGTTTTAACCGCAGTTGTGGTCTTTTTCAAGTAAAATTCACTTGACGCATTACGTATAATTTTACTGGTGTCGCAGTTAAATCTGTGAAAATTTCACGCCTTTCCCATACAGACTCATTTATTTTGTATCGGTAAGTTCAAAATTTGACCTTCCAGGTGGAGGTTTTAATGCGGCACTTAGAGCTGTTCAAATATGAATTGTTATTGATATACCATAAACGTTGGAGGTTTTCACAGTATTGCCGGCTAGAAACACATGTGCTTCAAGTCAGGAGTGAACGTAAGCTTGTTGCATGATAGTGAACTTCAAAGATCGTTGTGACGTATATGGTCATGTCATGTCATCTATGAGCTAATAAGTTTTTGAGAGTACATTCCTAATTATAAAGGGGAAAGATGTATGGAGACTTTACGGATTTCGATTTTTCAGGATATGGAGGAGGTTATGGAGGAGGTGGTGGAGGAGGAGGGGGCGGAGGATATGGAGGGGGCTATGGAGGTGGTTATGGAGGAGGCTTTGGAGGTGGTTATGGAGGAGGTAATAAATGAGAATAATCAGGAAAAGCATGCCTCAATCGCAACAAATTCTAACAAAATGGGTGCAATCGTTACTGAGATTACTTAATGGGATTCCAGTGAAAATACTCACACAGAGCTAGCTATACACAGACTATCCAAAAGAAATTTTCGCATATGTTCGTGATCATCATTATTAATTTTGGAACCACTTAATACTTTATCAAGTATCCAGCAAACCAGTAAAAGACATAATTATAGTTTATAATTCATAGTATATATACTAAGTGACATATAAATCCGAACACCCAGTTTAAATGGTCGGGAGATCTTGGTGGCCATGGTAACAATGTGACATCATTATGTTGAAAGAAGTCTATTGTGACTCTTGCAACATGTGGTCGGGCGTTATCTTGTTGGAAAGTTGGATCTGCCAGGGTGTCAAGATAGGGTAAAAGATGGGGTTCTAGAACTTCGTGGATATAACGCTGCGCGTTAATGTTACCTCTGATGAAGATTAAAGGTGACCTGGAACCATAAGCTATAGCGCCCCAAACCATGACTCCAACAGTGTGATAAACATGTCTTTCAACAAAAAACTGTGGATTCCTCCTTTCACCACGTCGCCTTCTAACCCTGGCACGACCATCGTGCTTGCCTAAACAAAATCGAGACTCGTCACTAAAGACAATACTGTTCCATTCCTGATCCCAGAGTGACCGTTGTCTGCACCACTCAAGGCGATTACGTCGGTATTCTCGAGTTAAAGGGAGGACCCAGTGTGGCCGGTATGAAAACAAGCCAAAACTTCTCATTCGTCGGTAAACACTTCGCATGCCAATAGGTCTTCCATGTTCTGCAAACCATTCATTTGCAATGGACCTGGTAGTGGAGAAACGGTCCCTTAAGGCCAATAATCTTAGGCGGCGATCTTCACGGTCTGTTGTTCTACGGCGGCGTCTGTGCCTCTTGCTCTTTGCGTACGGCCTTCTCGAAGCCATGCCTGATAACACCTAACCACAGTGTCTACACTTCTTTGCTCTCTAACTGCAATTGCCCAAAAAGAAAGTCCAGCTTCCCGAAGTCCCACTATACGGCCCCTATCAAACTCACTAAGTTGACGAAATCGTACAGGTCTCCGTACTCTAGGCATCGTAACCGATCGTAAAGGATGTCAAGAACCAAAATCCGCCAACGTTGATTCTTTACTGCGGCTGAAATATTCATTTTTAGAGCGTTAGTGAATTAAAAAAAGCAGTATAAAAACCGGAATATCCAACTGATTAAGCTGAACATTTTTTCACTTGTTATTTACAGTAAGATAAATACATTCACTAACTTTTATTAAAATAAAACCATTTAAACTGGGTGTTCGGATTTATATGTCACTTAGTATACATACTTAATTTAGACTTTTTTATATTTCCAAATATTGGTTGAGTAGATTGGCTAATTGCATCACACCTTTTAATGTTATGTTGTGACGTTAATGATGCAATAAAGACATACGCTGTTGTTATTATTATTAAATAGTTACATGTCATTTTCCGCGGACATAAAAATTGAATTTTTTTCAGGAGGTGGAGGAGGAGGAGGAGGAGGCGGCGGTGGAGGAGGAGGATTCGGCAGAAGGAAGTGAGGTAATACCATAATTCTTGTAAGAGCATTAAGCTTTGCTTATATCCATTTATATCTGTATTGTTTTGTTTCCAATGACTTTATTTATACTAAGGACTCAAATTACGTCATACTTGTGCTTCATTCATATGAAATATTACTCTTGTTTCAGGGCTGAGACTTTAATCAACATTTCGAACCATTCCACTCGATTGGAGACGTTTATAGGAAAATGATATTTAATGTTTGTACGATACTATTAATAAAGATATTTTTTCTGTTGCTGTATATTCGATGACCTTTTACACCTTTGTCAGTCGGTAAATGCTTCTAAAAGCATTCATCTATCTCAGTATTTCCCTTTCTTCTTAAAATATTGTTCCCGATCCCCTATTTCATCACCCAAGCAAAAATAGTGACAAACTTACAGGTAATCGATGGTTTTTCAAAGTTTATTCTATCTAACTTTTCAAGTTTTTAAGAATTTAAACACAACATCTGCTATCTATCTCATTAGACTTATTAATATTCAGGTTTGTGTTTCGTTTGATCATACCTTGCTTATTTTTATTTATATCGTTATTAAAATAAAAATACATGATGATCTATCACAATCGTTATCTTCCCAACAAGTGCGGAAAGTGATACTTTTCCGCATTCGACTGCTGTTGGCTGTTGGCCGAACTACTAGTACGTAACAAGGAAAACAACAACATATTGTAACAATTGAAACCATAAACTATAATGATAAAAAACGTAAACAATTAAATTTTATAATTACTAGTGTTAACAAAAGCGCAGTTGCTGGCATTTTGAAGATTTCTTCTTTCCTGGGTAGGATGGTAATGCACTCAAGCAATGATTAAACTTGACACGTAACTTTTTTACACACGGCGTGCAGAAAAGTGTAGGTTTCCAAGCTGAAATCGGTGCGGAAAATTGACACTTTCAGTATGCTTGTGATTGATTGTAATTATGTTGTCCAGCACAATGGAATGTGTGGAAAAGTTGGAGATTTAATTTGCAATACCGTTTAACAGGTCCTATCGAATAAGGTTGCATTTTCTTAAACGATTTATCAGATAGCACTGACACCCTGTATACCAAAAATGCGTCCCATGACAAATTTTATATCAGACTCTATATAAATTTTGTATAAAATACTTTTTCAAAATGGTCATGTAAAAAAATTTTAGGGAGGTCAATTTCTAGCGATCTATCTTTAAAGCATCTGGCTGAAGTTATGACCGGCAGAAAGTATCTGACACTGCTGAATATGAATATAAAACAGCCGTCAAAATTTAAGTTTAGCTTGTGTCAAGACATCACAACAAGAATCCTTACCTAAAATTGGGATTCCTCGTTATTCAATAATAATCATGAAGATGCGATATACGTGTTTACATGTGATCGAAAACCTGCTTAATTTATATCATCATTAATAATGTTACGCTTAAAATGTTATAATAAATTCATCTTTATTTTATTTAGATTTAAGAAGTAATAAAATCTTGGTGTGATGAGAACAAGAATCAGTGTCAAAATGAAGGTTATAGCTGCAGGTTTAGTGTTACTATTAGGATGTGTATGCGTGCTGGAAGGCAAAGTAGTTTTGGTAAGTAAGAAACAAGGCAATATTGCAACTTTAGAAAAATTAAGAGTAGTTAACAGTGTGTTTATAGAAGGGTTCAAAAAACGGAGGCAGTATTTTTGAGATCGAATAGTCGAGAAAGTATCTACTATAGAAAATATTTTGCGTTCATTTTTTGCATAATCTTGTTAAAGAAGGACCCCTTTCCACAGACTCGCATGTTGCGTAAAAATTGCTTAGACATTTTTTAAGCTTGAACAAAGGTTGTTTTATTTTCGCTACGGGTAAAATTTCTTAAGGTCTTTTGGGTCATGTTGAACGAAGAAGGTTCTCATGTATTTTCTCTGAAATTAATAGCTTTAGAAAAAGTGCTAAGTATGTCATTTTCGACCCCCAAAAACATTAACAAAATCCTTAGGCAATTTAGGGGGTATTGTTATTGTAAACCTTTGTCTTCACCTCTCACGACAACTGGCGAAGTACTGGAATCACGAAAAATTTCGTAAATAAGACAGGACATTGAAGAGACAAAGAGAACAGTATATAATGCTTCATCATTCTTGGAAAGTCTAATCTGAATACTTCAGGTAAAGTCCAAAGATGTTCATTTACATTGCAAAGTGTATAAGATTAGTGAAATATCAAATATCACGTAACAACAACGTGGAACATATGTTATATTTCCTATAAAGCAGAAGTCTGAGTTACAAATAAAACTGCTGGAAAAATATAACACCAGCCAGCAAGCCAGACAATTCACATTCTCCCAAATAACTTGCCACGATGTTATGGGATTTTTCCGGAGTATCAAAAGCAATGCCTTGGGTGTTGACGGAAACAATCATATTCGATTTGCTAATTGAAAATATAACTTTCATCATCAACTATGCAATTGCATCATCAAACTTCCTCAACTGTTGGAAAAAAGCAAATGTTCTCCCCCTAGCTAAAATAAGTAACCCTGCAGATATTTCACATCTGAGGCCGATAAATATATTACCAGCATTTTCCAAGTTATTAGAACTAGCCATGAAACGTCAGGTATCTGACTACGTCTTCTCTAATGGTATCATTCCTGAAACCCAATCGGGTTTCAGGAAAAACTACAGCGCAACAACAGTTCTGGCTAACATCACGGATGACTTAATCAGATGTGTGGATCAAGGAAATTTAGCATGATTAGTGCTGCTTGATTACCCAAAGGCTTTTGATACTCTGGAACCATCTATTCTTGTGAAAAAGCTTATATACTTTGTTTTTTCGGAATCTGCAATTAATTTTGTATTAAGTTATTTCACTGACAGGAGTCAGATGGTAGTGATTGGGTCAAGTATCTCGGAGGCGATACCAGTTAAACTAGGTGTACCACAGGGTTTCATTCTGGGACCATTATTGTTCTCAATTTACATTTCTGACTTCCACGAGTACGTTGAACACTGCAATATTCATCACTATGCTGACGACACTTAATTGTAATGATTTAATAAATTTATCTAACATATCTTGTGCCCATAATCTTAAAATTAACACGTTAAAATCATCCGCAGTTATATTTGGACCAAAAATGAAAAAAAGTCAGGCAAAACCATTACTATCATTGAGCATTTTAAATCAACCGATCCCTATAAAAAATAAGTGCAAGAATTTAGGACTCTGGATTGATTCTGATTCGAGGTTTGAAAAACACGTTAGTCAACTGTGCCGAACATCATTCGGTGTCTTGAAGCAATTATTTCCTCATAGGAAAAGTATGAATACTGGTCACAAGCTGAAGTTGTGCGAAACCTTAATATGGTCTAGAATTCACTACTGTGACAGTATTTATGAGCCTGCACTAAGATCGATTGAGATAAGGAGACTTCAGACTATTCAAAATGCGTGTCTCAGATTTGCTTGCGGTGTGAGAAAATTTGAGACAGTGTCACATAAATATCGTGAGCTGGGTGTTCAAAAAATAAAAGAGCTACAAAAAATGAACGTATGTATTGACCTTGACCCATAAGGTAATCACAACACAAGCCTCTCCATATCTATCAACCAAGTTTATCAGATACTTACTCAACTGAACACAAAGCATAAGCATATCTTGGTCATCCCGAGACATTCAACATCTCTATTTAAAAGGTCGTACGCGTATATACTGCTATCAAGGTATACAACGCGTTGCCACCGAGTTCACTCACTACTCTATAAAGAATTTCAAAAAAAGATTGAAGAATTTTATCTCTGATTTCATTGCCCAGTAAGTAGACCATGGCCATGAATATACAGGGTGACTTTGAAGTTGAGTCATTAATTTTCAGATAATGATTGTAGAAGGAAGATAAACCAAAATATGTGTGTAAAAATAAAAAAAAATTAAAAAAAAATGTTACCTTGTTTTATAAAGTATCCTCTCGACAAGTATTTCAGTGCGGACCTGTATTTGATCGTGAGGTCTTGGAGCACCGGCATGCCGTAGCCTGTGAGGTCTTAAGTCACCTGATTCACGACCCCGTTGTACTACATTAACAAAGGCACGAGGGGTTGGTTGCACTCGATTGGGAAACCGATCCGCATAAACATGTGCCATTTTTGATTTCGTTTGAGCTACGCAACAGACACCACTATTCACTCACGTGTTACCGACTGACAGTGACTGTATAAAACTGAATAAAATAATTGTAAAAACATCGTTCCAAATTCTTTCGCTTTTTTGTTTCCGATGCGATGAACCGATAAGGCGGATTATATCCGTTGTTGCCAAACACGAGCACATAATATTATGATTGAGACAGGCCGGTACTCAAACTTCCAAAGGGTTATAACTTTGTTACTTTAATTTTACCAGAAAAATGGTAAAGGAAAAAAACATTTCTTTTGATCAGATCTACTCACTGTTAAAATAAATGACTCAACTTCGAAGTATAATGACTCGTTACAGGTTTTTTTTAACTCTTTTGTTTTCATTGGGATTAGAAAATTTACATAAATTTACATAACATTGTTGGGTTAAGTTGAAAAACGCTATTTAGCGACACATCGCCTTTTTATACTTTGTATAAATGAAGCCAGATTATTATTATTATTTGATATAAAAGCGTTTATCAAAAAGCTTGAGTTTTGGCGATACCAGGCATTCTCCCGTTCTTTCAGAAAAGATATATCAAAGTACATTAAAACCATATGACAGTAAATATCATGTAGAAGTAGCCTCTAGCTTGAAGGATAATTTCAAAAATCGATTCAAGGATTTCAAAGAAATTACTATAGTCGCGCAAGTTGTGGAAATAGATGTCTAACAGTTTGCAACTTCTGTTACGCAGAATTTTAACGTAGACATCGCTGCGTCATAAATATACTAAGTGATATATAAATCCGAACACCCAGTTTAAATGATTTTATTTTAATAAAAGTTGGTGAATAGTAGATGTCTTATGGGGATTCGGTCTCAAAACTTCCAAAATCCGCCACCAGAGGCGCTGGCGTCGCGCGCCATTGACAGGTTGTTGGACGGAATCTGTAATCGAAATTCATGAGTTGGGGATTCCACCGCTAGATGGCGCTGTCAAACCAAACGGAATCTGTGTGTCATTGGACACCTGTCATGCGTCATTGGGCATCTCACGCATAGATGGCGTTAAAACGTCATCTGTCATACGTCATTGGACAACTGTCATTGATGGGTTGAGCATCTCGCGCATAGATGGCGCCGATTTGTTTGGCGGTGTACAAACCTAACGGAATCTATGTGTCATTGGACACCTGTCATTGATGGGTTGGGTATCTCGCGCATAGATGGCGCCGATTTGTTTGGCGCTGTACAAACCAAACGGAATCTATGTGTCATTGGACAGCTGCCATTGATGGGTTGGGCATCTCGCGCATAGATGGCGCCGATGCCGCACCTGTCTGGTGTTGGCGTGGATTACGGGGGGCAACGTGTATACAGGGGTGCATCGAAAAATAGCGGATCGATGGACCGACGGTATATCGTTAAATCGTATATAGCAAGGCGTGACCTAAAGTTAGTTGATGTAACAAATCCTCGCTGGGGCATGGTACTCCAAATAGAGTCCAATGAAATGGTCCGGTCGCAACAACTTTTCTTGTAAATTCATTAAATTTATAGTAAGTTGCGTGACGGAAAAAGTAAATATGGCCATCAATCCATCGAAATGCGAGAGAAATATCTTCAGGTAATTCAGGAAATATGTCTCTTATCCGTCCTCTGTTCAACACATCAGTAAAATCGTTAGAAAATTCTATATATGACATATTATTATAAAAGGTATAGGACCGTCCTGCGTTTGATTGAAAAATAGCATTGATTCGAGCCCTATCGGGTATATCAATTGAAAAATTATCAAGAAATTTAATGGTAGGGAATGATGCTGAGAAATATTTGTTTGGAGACACAATGGTAATCAAGTCACCGTTTGTTGATTGGAAAATATGTTGTAAAGTGTATTGACGTAATTCTGTAGGAACATAATCGACAAGAAGTTCAGGCTGAGATGGGATAATCATTTCGTTTAAGTCTAGTTTCCATATAAACATATCATGTGCAATATATAATCGGTAATTTGAAAACTCTGGAGCAATGGCTAAAAACATAAAATCTGGAATAATATCACACAAATTTTTGAGGATCGGCTGCTTACGAGTTGTAGATCTTATAGTTGTTGTTGTTTTTGGTATTGCTGATGCGGTGGTAGACGTTGGGATTGAATCATATTTGTTTTTTCTTCCATATAGATATTGTACTGCATTTATATCATCAACATCTAGACCACGAATCTCATGCTGATAGAAGGCAAACATAATAGCATTCGGAGAAGCACTATGTGCTATGCCGAGGGCATGTCCAATTTCATGAACCAACACCATAAGAAAACTAGTTTGATTTTTGGGTATATTAGGATTATTTCCAAAATACCAGCGTTCATTTATATCTAAATGGATTTCTCTACAGGTGCCGCTAGAGTCAGGAAAGTATGCATGTCCTAAAACGCCGCCAGCATCATCTAATGTCAATGGACATTCATCATTACCCATACAGTTTGCGCTAAAATAATGAGTCTTGCTAACCATGGTTATAGTAATATCAGGAGGATATAGAGTGGGATTGGTAACCATTGTAAATGTTAAGTTTTAAACATTTTGCCACATCTGAAAAGCCATTTCTGCATCTTTTTGGGCCGCAGGTGTGTTTCGAGGGAAATACCATTTCAGGTCATGTTTCCGAAATGGAAAACTTGCTCTAAATTCAGCATCACTGTATTGACAACGCGGACGATTCATAAATTCAATTGTTGCATTATTCAACAATCCATCCACTGGTAAATTATACTTTTCTTGCAAGTTAGTTAGCAAAGTAGAGAGATCTGTTGTATTATCGATGATATGTTCATATTGAGTTAGGTATACTATAGCGTCTTTCTCGGAGAAATCGTTGCAAAGCACGTATGTGAAAGTTGAAATAAAAAATAATACGTCTACCCACATCAACATCTTGATAGAGAATGATGTCAACAATCTCAGATAGCAAATATAAATTCGTTTACCCCCCCAATCAAAATCTTGACTGAAAAAAAATTAGGCAGCAAATATACAATAATCATACACGAATTTCTATATTTCTAAAATTCTACTCTCATGTGCAACTTGTAATTGGAATTTCCGCCGGACAAACGATACATTCATGTATTACTAAGAAATTATATAAAAAATACTGCAACCGCAATGAATGTTGTTTTCTCGATAAAAATGGTACTGAGAATATGATGAATATAATATGCATATTTACGATACAATTATCTCATGCACGCGTGTGTCATCTCAACTACGTACTTATATTGAGCGAGCGCATGCAGTTTTCTCGATAAAAATGGTACTGAGAATATGATGCATATAATATGCATATTTACGATACAATTATCTCATGCACGCGTGTGTCATCTCTACTACGTACTTATATTGAGCGAGCGCATGCAATAGTCATCATTGTTTCACACTTAACGCACAACGCTGCAAGCTGCAACAACGACCGCAGTACAATTAGTGCTTCGAGAGAGACGAGAGAGCGAAAATTTTAAAAAAAGTAAGTGCTATTTTATTTAATATTTTTCTTTTTTATGTCTCTAAATGCAACTGTTTTTTTTTTCGTGTTATGCTTCAAAATAGTTAGACGACTCAATTTTTTTTATAGATGGATTTATCAAAAATTAATGCTGCGTCTTCGATTGTAGACCGCAAACCTATCAGAAAATTAAAGGACCTACCAGTCGGGACACCATTTGCAATCCAAGCAGCTAAAGTGGTCAAGTCGAAATTTGGGGAAGCCGTGCTACTAGATTTAGGACCGGAAGTGCTATTTCTACCACAGCGGGTGACGGAAACGTACCAGCCGGTCATCGACGAACTTTTTCACGGAAAATACTCGATCATCTTCCAAGGGGAAGTGGACGTAGGGAAAAGCCGACCGCTAGCATCATTCAAAATAGTGGAAAATTAACAAAGCAGAGAACAGGAGGAGGACAGGGTGAGCATTTTTATATATTTTTGAGTAATGTGTTTGCTTGAAAAAAAAAATGTCGTCTTTTCAAATGTCTTCAAATAAGGTTAAAAAGATCATCAAACAAACAGACGGTGTTCTACTATCAATTGTTAGTCTACGGAAAATTTTATTTGATAATTTTACAATCAGAGACGCGGAAGTGTGGCTGAAACGAATAGAAAAACAAATTAGATTATGTAAACGGGTAATTCGTAGTAGAAGGCAAAATAAATTATCTGTAGGGACCTGTAGAAAAGTAGAAACAAATTTGGGGCATTTTAAACATTTTAGAAAGTTGATTTTAACTAGACATATTGGGGCAGGACTTCACTTAACATTGGGTCAGAGGGTTAGATGGGAAAATGTAGAATCGAGCTTTCAAAGTAGAATAAAAACCGGTTCCATAGCTAATTTGCGTCATAAGGACTTGAATCAATTTTTAGCAGATTGTGTAGTTGTTTTTAAAAGGAAAATTAGGAATATTTTGAACACCCATTGTGCGCTCAAAGTAAATACAACATTTTGCGGGGAGTTTATTAGGAAATCGGGGGATAATGAAATTTTGGGAATTAAATATATTAATACTAAAAATCATATTATTGATACATCAACTCAAATAGACGAGTGGTTTAAGATATATGTTAAAGATAAACTTTTAAACGAATTATCGGAATTTGCTGAAAAAGATTCGGGATTTGCGTTAAATAAAATTATTTCCTTAGTTGTTAATATCAGTAAATATCAATTGGGAAACGGTTCATCTTATATTAGACTACCAGAACCGATTATAAGGAAAAATGCTTGTATAAACATTAAAAATATAGATCAAAATTGCTTTTACTGGGCCATTGTAAGCGCTCTTCGGACTCCTAGCAATAAAAGACATGCAGAACTAACCTCCTCATATCCACACTTTACTGACGTTTTACAAACAGAAAATTTAGATAGTCCTATGCTGCTAACAAAAATTTCAAAATTTGAAAAGATGAATAATATTTCAGTCAATGTTTACGCTTTAGAATTGATCGAAACAGAAAAAAAATCATTTTACATAGTAGTACCAGCAAGATTAACGGAAAATAAACGGGATACGCATGTTAATTTACTTTTAGCTCAAAATAAATATTATCCGCGTTTAAATGATTATGATGCTCCTCCACCAGCGCCAGCAAATGAAGATAATGATTCAATCGATGAAATTAAATATCACTATTGTTGGATTAAAAATCTTTCGCGTCTTATTAGTAGCCAGTTAAATAAACATCGTGAGAAAAAATTTATTTGCGATAGATGTCTGAACTATTTCCATCAGCAAAATAAATTAGTTGAACATGAAAAACTGTGTTCTAAATTTAATAAATATAAAATTAACCTTCCTAAAGAGAGCTGCGTTGAATTTAAAAACTTTACATACCAACAAAATACTCCTTTTGTTGTTTATGCAGATTTTGAATGTCAATTAGAAAATCATAAAGAAAGTAGCGTCGTAAATTTAACTAAAACCATAAAATATCAAAAACACGTTCCGTATAGTGCTGGTTTCTATGTAAAATGCAGCTATGATGATAGCCTTTCTTATTTCGAGAGCTTTCGAGGTGCAGATTGTATGGATTGGTTTGCAAATCGTATGGCTGGTGTTGCGCAATTTGTAAACTCAAAAATAAAAACAAGCGTACCTATGATTGAAAAATTAGACACATGTAAGGCAACATCATGTCATATTTGCGGTAAGAGATTTTCAAAAACAAAAAAAGACATAATCGTTAGAGATCACAACCATTTCAGTGGAGAGTTCAGAGGTTACGCACACCAAGCATGCAATCTGAACTTTAGAAAATTGTTTGTTGTGCCGGTTATATTCCATAATTTAAGTGGGTACGATAGTCACTTTATGATTTCGAATTTATGTAAAAAAGGTCGCTTAAGTCTACTTCCCATCAACAAAGATAAATACATCTCCTTTACGCTGCACTCAGATGAAAATAACATTAAATTGCGGTTTATAGACTCTTTTCGATTTATGGGGGCGTCTCTTGATGAATTAGCTTCAATTTTAGCAGTATCAGAAAAGAAAATTTTACAAAGGGAATTTCAAAATTTAGATGAAGATAAATTCAAATTATTAACACAGAAAGGAGTTTTCTGTTACGATTACATTGATTCGTTGAAAAAATTAAATGAAACGACTTTGCCCCCAATTGAAAAATTTTACAATAAATTAAACGATGAAAGTGTAAGTGACGAGAAGTATGCTCATGCGCAATCTGTTTGGCAACAGTTTAACATTAAAACATTAGGAGAGTATTCTGATATATATTTAAAAACAGATATTCTGCTTCTTGCCGACGTTTTTGAGCAATTGCGTAAAAAATGTTTCTCCACCTATGGTCTGGATCCTGCGTGGTACTATACAATGCCCGGATATACGTGGGACTGTATGCTCAAATACACTGGGTGTAAGTTAGAACTACTAAAGGATCTAGATATGGTGATGTTTTACGAAAATGCTATAAGAGGTGGAATTTCGGTGTGTAGCAACCGATTTTCGGAGGCCAACAATAAATATATGCCCGAATATGATCCTGAAAAGCCGTCCAAGTACCTTATGTACCTGGATGTGAATAGCTTATATGGGAAGGCTATGCAGCAACCCTTACCCTACGGAGGGTTCAAATGGGTAGATGATGTAACATCGTTTGATGTGATGTCAATACCCGACGACTCTGACGTAGGGTACGTGCTACAAGTCGATCTATCGTACCCACAAGAACTGCACGATAAACACAAAGATTTTCCGTTTGCGGCAGAACGTAGCGTACCACCCAGCGACGGCGGGGTAAAATTGCCGAAATTAATGGCAACACTTACGGATAAAAAAGAGTACACGGTTCACTATAAAAATTTAAAACAAATGCTAGCTAATGGGTTAAAGTTAACGAAAATCCATAAAATTTTACAATTTAAACAAGCAGCCTGGCTGAAACCCTACATCGAGTTGAATACTCGATGTAGAGCTGCAGCCCGGAATGATTTCGAAAAAAATCTTTTTAAATTAATGAATAATGCAGTATTCGGTAAGACCATGGAAAATATACGTAAGCACCGCGTATGTAAAATCGTTAAATCTTGGGGTGGTCGCTATGGGGCAGCAAACTTGATTTCGAGTTTTCGGTTCCACAGTCGCACAATTTTAGAGGAAAATCTGGTGGTTATCGAATTGAACAAGGCTGAAATAACGTTTAACAAACCTCTGTATGTAGGGCAGGCAATTCTAGACCTATCGAAACTAGTCATGTACGATTTTCATTACACCTATATGCTACCAAAAATGGGTGCAGAAAGGTGTAAGCTCATGTACATGGACACAGACAGTTTTATCTACGAATTGCAATGTGAGGATGCATATGAGGAGATCATTAAAGCTGATTCCAGTAAATTTGATACTTCGGATTATCCTGAAAATAACATATATAAAATACTGCGTAAGAACAAAAAGGTGCCGGGTCTAA